GATGGACCAACAATGCGAAGTGAAAGGAGGGGACCACCTTGGTAACTGGAAGCTTGTCGGAGACGCTCTGCTAGCGTTAGAAGACCAGATGCAAACTTATTATTTGTTCGATTTAGTGGAAGTGGAAGTTCAACTGGATGACGTAGGCTGACTGATCTGGCACCCTTAACAGTGACCACAGCTCCATCCGCTAAGATCACTTTCTTCAGCACTCCAGCATCAACATCATGCTACATATCATTAGAAACAGAAAATTCAATCAGCAAAGAAGAGAAGTAAAGAACTAAATTTGACATGTACAGATTAGTAAACGTAACAGTATGTGGCATTTGTATACTCTAGCCATCTCCCTACATCAACAACAATAACAATCTAAGCTTTATTCTAAACGAAGTCGGATTGTTCAAGTAAAGAAATGAAATATTCCGACAAACCATCTTATAACAATAATTAGAACCCTATTGGTACACATAATAAGAAGAAAAACATGCTGCAAAATAATAATAATAATAATAATAATAATAATAATAATAATAATAATAATAATAATAATAATAATAATAATAATAAAGAATCAAATTGAAACTTGTGGACAAGTTTAGTGTAACACATGAACCAAGAAACACAAGAAAGTCACAAACAAAGAAAAAGCTTTCCCCGCCATGAAATTCTATCCCAAATGAACCAAAACTAGTTTGAATAGCTAAGAATGCTTTCCCATTGAAATCTAACGGGAATGGCTTTTTCACTTGACACAATTATTAAACTAGAACGATAATAAATTAAATTTTCACTTTCATCAACTACTATCAGTTTCCATTCCTCATCCCTGCAAACACTTGTACTGCAGATTGCAGATTAAACATTCTCCCTCTTTTCTTGACATAATCACCATTACAACCCCGTCTTTCAATAATCATATAACTTGCATATGATATAAAACAAAAGAAGGTAAATTCCATACGCGCTTCCAACAATTACGAATGAAGTTGAATAATCAACATTAAACAGAGAAAATGAACAAAAAAAAAATCAACATTAAACCGGAAATCGTGCAAGTCAAACTTACCGGCAATGAAATTCTCATATCTTTGGCATCTTGAATCCATAGCTCCATTGGACCAGCCAACTGGAATGGGGCCAAAACCGGCATCTGATCCTCCAATAGCTGCCTCTCCACCAGCCCATTACTTGAATCCTCTATGCGAAAAATGGGCAAGTCCACATACTCCCATCGGTTAACGTCCTCCAAAAGCTTAAAGGGCAGAACTTTATTATCAATTTCAACATCAAATTCATATGCCACCGATCTTCCCACTAAGGCATCCCTCAAATCAAACCCCGATATCTTAAACTCATCAGCTTGGAAACCTAATCCCTTCACAATTGCTTCCTTCAAATCCTATAATTAATATCAAAATAAGCTATACCAAATCAAACATCGCAGTTAAATTAAACTTAGAATATTGAAACAAGGGTCCATTTTAGAAGGGAAAAACTGCAGAAATTTGGGATTTCTATAGCAAAATTGAGAAATTTTGAGAACAATGAAATGAAAAAGTTGAATGCTTACAGATATCGCTTTAGGGTAGGGGGGAATAACGTCCTCTGAAGCAACCGAAGCTGCGGAGAATGAAAATCGAAACGCAATCTCGATCAAGCAAAACGCTGCAAAAATATTCAGCTTTCGTAACCTTAAAGCCATTAATTTACAAACAAAACAAAGAAATTTTTGAACGAAGAACTTCGTTTATTTGATCGATTGTGCTTTTTCTTCTGATTTAACCAGAGATTTAAATCAATGAATTTAGAAAATATTTGGGATTTTCACTTTTTAACGATGGGAAGAAGATATTGGGAAAATGAGAGGGAAAGAATACTGCACAGATGATTCTGGAAGATGATGACTTGATGGAAATGGACGAATGAGAGTGGGTGATGATATGCCGTGTACGTTTCATGGTATGGGCACGGAATTTCCGGGTTTCGCGCGAAAATTTCGGGGAGGAAGTAACGGCGACGTATCACTCAATCTGGTTGGGAAAAAAAAAAGTTCGATTCAGAAAAATGGCGTCGCCCGGACTCGAACCGGAGACCTTCAGTGTGTTAGACTGACGTGATAACCAACTACACCACGACACCTCATTGTCAATTATATGAAACATATTATATACAAAGAAATAAGAATTACATAAAAGTAAATCAAAATTTATGAAACCAATATTTCACAATTCAATTTCCCTATCCTATTTTCTTAAATCATATATTTATCATTTTCAAAAATTAAAATAAATTATGTTTCTTAATTGTAAATTCATATAGAGTTTTCGAGTCACCAATCGTGAAACTCGTCTGGTCGTGGGACTTCAAAATTAAGCCTACGTAGAAATTTAAATTTAGATTTCAATTTAAATCAAAGTCAACAATTAATTTTAATAATAAATTTTATGGGTCATATAATTTTTAACAACACATTTCATCATTTTTTATCAAAATTCATTAAAAATCTGATTTTTTATCCCCGTCAAACCGGGGCCAAGTTTAGTTTGTCACAGTATAGCAACTTAAAAAAAAAAAAAAAAAAACCCAAAGATCATGTCTCGAGCCAAATATATCAAACATTTTCTAATTGGACTCCTATCTAACTTAAATATTGTTGTTAAGTTGTGTTGTCGTTTGCTGCATTGTCATTGTCTTCAATAACTCATTTTTATAGCATTATTTTTTAATTTCTCTCAAGGGATATTATATTTCAACTTGAGATATTTTGTTGTTTAGTTTCATGATTTCAGCTAATAATTGAAGTGTTGCATAGTTAATAATTAAGAGGAATAAAAAAAAAAAGACCCTTCTTATCATGTTTGGTAAGGACTAATCAATGCTAGAAAAAATTAATTAAGAACACCAAAAAGTTTACTTACTCTTTAAAATGTATTAAACACATTATTAAAGTATAAAAGGTGAGGTGTTGTATCCTACAAATGCATAAACAAGAAGATTTAGAAAGATCGTAACATTATACTTGTCAATCAAAATTGTGTATTTTTTTAGTGATTGATAAGAATATAGTTCGTTGTAATGCTTATGTCATGTCGAGATATTATATAAGAAAAAAATTTTAATCTGATTTAGTTTTGAAAAATCATTTAGTTAACACGTTGGTTGGAATCATAGCAAATAGTGTGTTCTTGAATAAGCATCTCTCTCAACATTTAAAATTTTTATTAGTTAATCATGAAATGTACATATAAGCCCACAAAATTGAACGATCAATCCAAAATAAGCTATGAGGAAATTATACGCATACGTCTTTTACAATTTTTCATTTCAATAATCAGATCGTAAATTTATTCTTTCAAAAATCAAGTATAGCCATTCCAACCTGTCGTGACCTAATTCATTTTCAACCCAAACAAAAGGTCATAGAAACTTCAACTTGATTCCACTTTTCTTCAGCACGGTCCCTTCCTCACCAGCACCTTCTTCACTTCACTAGCACCGACAACAACACCGCAGCAAGCAAAGCGTTGCACAGCCCCTCGCGCACAGCGATGATGGCCACCATTGTGACCCATTTCGAATGTGTGGTGCATGGTGCCTCGTTGCAGATTCGTGTGGTACAATTGTGCATTGCACCCGTTGTGGGTTTGTGTGCGGTGCAACGGTATGTTGCAGACACATGTGCATTGTGGATCTCTGCGTGTGTGGTGGTACGGTGGTACATTGCGGATCTCTGTGTGTGCAACGAAATGATGGTGCATTGCGAATCTATTAGGCACATCATCATCGAGTTCTGGTCTTTATGTGGTGAGTTATCGTGTGTACGATGGTAGGTTGTGGTGCAGTGATGCTAATGGGCTGATGTTGTGTCTATGGTGGTGTAAATATACGATGGTAGTGGTGATTAGTGGGTGCTGCTGCTGCAGTGGTGGTAATAAGGTGAATGTAGAGTGGGGTGGGGTGCAACCGATGCCGGTTGTGGTGATGGGTTGTAGATTTGAGGCAATGGTGCATTTTGAGTGGTGTCGCGGTGGTGGAAAGGGTAAGGTGAAATAGGGGAGATAAAGGGTAATTTGTGACCATTTAATTGGGTATTGTTACAGTTAATTTGATAATTTATGGTCGAAAAATAAGTTATGACCAACTAATTCGATAATTGGTGATCGATAAATAAGTTCCGACCTATAAAAATGTGTAATTTGTGACTAAATTTGCAAAAGTGGGCTTTTAGTTGGATAATCATGACAAGTTAATTTGATAAATTGTGATCGAAAAATAAGTTGTACCAAATTAATTTTATAATTTATAATCGATGAATAAGTCGTCTTATAAAAATGTATAATTTATGACTAAATTTGTAATTGTAACCCATATTTTGTATTTGTGACTGTGGCGTTCTGTGATTATGACTACCATGTAAGCGTGATCATAAGTTTTGTGTTATTGTGTCTTCAATTTATTTAATTATACCACCTGATTTAAAAAAAAAAAAAACTCGCAACTTTGGCAAGTTTGAAAGTATATCTTTAAAGATTGATAGTTATGTATTTTTCCATAAGCTATTTTCAGCCGAGATATATTGATAAATACTAGACAAACGTGATTTTATTACTATAATACAAACAAACAAGGACATTACAAAGAGGCCATAATTAAGAACATTAAATATTCTTGAGGGCCTCTAAAACACTGATCAGTAACCTCAACTTCTGCTACAAATTCATGTTTATTCGTCCGCCAAAAGAAGATAAAACCCATTAAAAAGCCAAACGAAGATATGGGCCGGTCAATTTTCTTTACAAACAGGAAGGTCAAAAACATGGCAAATTAACAATAATCAGCCATGAAAAAATTTAGGAAAAAACCCTCCAAATGAACCCCACAGCAAAATAAGCTTCAAGAAATGGTTTGAAATGGTGGAAGTCTAAAACAGGCTTTTGATAGCCAGATAATTGGCAAAACAAAGTTTAACTATGTGTTCGACAAGGAACTTCATCGATTCAGTTGAACATTATGAGCGCTGCACGTAAGTTCTTCACGAAATCCTTTGCTGGCATGTTGTATACTTCATCCATCTGCAAGAAATCACGAGGTTTTCTAACTTATTTGCTACCGAAAATATGAGGAAAAGCGAATTAATTTATGAGATTTTAGGAACTTAATGTGTAAAGTACCTTTGCAATTACAGTTATATCAAGAGCAGAATCTCCAAAAGTCATTGAACTGCTATTAACAACTGATAGATGGAGCTTCTCAATTTCAGCTACTGTTTTTTCAAGAACTCCTTTCCTTTTCTCACAGTGGATTCTTATAAGGACATCTTCATTAGAAAATCGTGCTTCAATTTCTGGGAGTGGCTCATCAATAAAGTTTTCGTCCGAGGGAGAATTTTCATTACCAGTATAAATCTCATATTTCTTGACAAAAACCACCGACTCCATGGATTTCTTCCTAGTTTGCTCCTCAAAAGTCTTCACTCGATCTTGGAGTTCTTTAATGTACTTAATTGCGTCTCCAAGAACCGATGCCTTGTCCATCTTGTAAGAAAATTTATTGGCATTAAGCACACAACAAGAAGTAAATTATCAGATTGATACTTAAAACACCCTATGAAGTTAGGGATTAAGCCCTAATCCCAAGCACGAGTGGAATAATACAATGTTTTCAAGAATATTATAATACTCCACCCTCAATATGATAGCTACGTCCATTTATTGCTGCAGGTTTTCAAGAATACGACAGTTTCTCATTCATCTCTTATGCTATACTAACGTTTTGAATGATATGCAAGATGGAAGAAACGCCGCGTGATAGAATTTCATTGGACTGTTTAAATAACAGTTAACACTGTCATCTAATCATGTTTTTGCCACAACTTCATCTGTAAACCCAGATGATTAACTCCTCTAGCAAAACAACATAATTCTTATATAGTAGGGATAAGCAGTCGAGGAGAAAGTGTACAGTTCGGTCCAACATATGAATATGTGAAAAAAATAAGAAACTAGTGTACCTTTTTCAATCCAGGTACCAGGGCGGTCAAAGCTACGAATCTCTGGCTGAGTTTTTCTCTCCTCTTTCTCTCAGCCATAACATGATCCTGTCCATGATAATGTCTATCATTTGTGCTAATTCTCTTATTTCCTGGGCAAGCCTTGAGCGTGTAATTTTTACCTTGAGAAACAACAGAACCATTGGAGAAATTTAGAGTACTAGAAGAAGACCATGTCTCCTCTTTAGGCGTCGCCATTTCTAATTGATTGGTGAAACTCGAATTCATTGAGTTGAGATTGTTGGAAGGATTAGGCCAAGTGTTTGTTTTGAGCTGTTTTGGGGTTCTTTCGATACCAGATTGAGAAAAATCTGCAGCCCTTTTGAAATTTAATATTGGTTGAGAGAAAGACTGATAAAAATCTTCACCAAACGCAGTACAATTCGACATAGTGCTGAGATCGTCAAATGAATTTACAGGCCACTGGTGAACAAAACCAATTTCATCCATTCCCTGTCAATGATGAATAAATCATGTTTAATCAAACAAAAATTTTAAAAATATCTGTCGTAGATCATAGAGTACTAAAAAACATGCCGATCATAATCATGGTTTTTATGAGATCGTCGTGTTTTAACCGTCATAGAAAGACTAATTCGATGTAATGCTTACCAGTTCTGATAAGCTTCTGATGCTTGCAATCTCCATAAGCAAAACCAAAAACCCTGCACGATATAAACTTATTCTTAAAACCCCCCTACTCGACCCACCTTGGCAAAGCTTATCTTTTTCTTAATCCTTTCAATTAAGAATATTGGTTGAGATTTATAGGCTCAACAAAAATTTGTTCTTGTCTCTCTCTCTCTCTCTCTCTCTCTCTCTCTCTCAATTATTTAGTTCTAAAGTCTTGAGAGTTTTTGCCGATGTGAAACTGACGTTGAGACATTTGAATCTCTCTTACAACAATAGTATGAACATGAAAATATGATAAATAAAAAAAAAACCTTAGTGGTTGCTTTTAAGTTGGTGTAAAGTTGAGAACTAATTAAAAGTTTTCTCAGCTGTCATATTACGAATTTTAGACTTTTTTGCCGTTGAAGTTTGAAGATTGCAAGTGGGAATTAAAATTAAACGAAGAAAACGATTAGCTGTTAATTTTAATTTTTAGTGCATCCATGTCAACTACCATCGTGTCCCTCAGTAGAGTCCAAATCAAGAAAAATTTCTCCAGATTTCGCGGAAACCTCGGTTTCAACATCTCGTTCAACTCATAAATATTTTTTTTTCTTTTGAGCACGTGTTGTATTCTAAGCCAGCTTGAATTATATTATGATGATTAATGAACAAAGTTTTTTATGCTAGAAGAAAAACGTCTCCGACCAAAAATTGTAGGCGGATTATTTATAGGGTATTTTTATTTTAATTGTCTAAGTTTTCGTAGAAGTTACGACCGCGTTTATATTTGAAACAATTTATTTTTACACAATCTTCTTTCTCACTCTCACTCCTGACAATTCTCCTTTTAAAACAAGTTATTTTTACCCCAATAGTTGATTCACTCCCACTCCCACTCCCACTCCCACACATGCAGATGCATCATCCCTACTTACCCGCATCGCCATGCGTCTCTCTCCCACCAACCTTTTTGGAGCCTCTTTAGTAACGAAAAGAATTATGGGAGAGAGAACGGAAGGGAAAGAGAGGGCGGCATTCGAGTAGCTACGATGTAAGGGTATTAAGATTTGGGGTTTCAAGATCATAGCTTAAGCTCAAGAAAGAAATTCGATTCGACTAAAACTCAAAACAAGCACATGAATTTCAATATTAATGTTCAAAAAAAGTAGGTAACCTTATTGCGGAGTATTTTAAAGGATAATATTATATTGACCAAGTATAAACTATCTATAAGAGTTTGAACTACTCGAGTGTGTTTGAGCCATATTATTTTGGAAGAATATATTTTGGAATAATAGATTGATGGAGAATTTGTGGTTAAAAAATAAGGAAAAGTTTTAGATGTGATGGAAAATATTATTTTATTGAAGAATACGTGGTTGAAAATGAGTTTTGAAAGAATGAATTTTTGTAAAATATGGATCAAGCAGATAAGATTGACATTTCAAAATGAAATCTCAAAAACTAACATAGCTTAAGGCAAGGAAGATGAGATAAAGGGTTGGAGAAAGTAGGAATTGTGATAAAGGATGATACGTTAAATTTAATATTTTACTTGTCTAGTTTTAATTCGTTTAAAAATATTGTTTTGTTATTTATGTTTAGTAAGAGTTTATTTTGATTATGAGTTATACTAAAATAAACAGGTTTCATGAGTTTGTCTTATTTTAAAAGTCTACTTAGAATTTCTTATTGAAATAGGGAGTTATGATTTTATTGCTAGGTGGTTGCTTTTGAATTTTTATTAAAATCATTGAAGATTGTTCTTCAAATATCTACACATTTGTGAATTCATGCACGAATGCTTTTGTAACACCATATTTGTAATCGTTTAGCTTTCCCCTGCATTCAATGGTATCAGAGTCCAATCTACGCTCCTAGTGACTGATCCAGGAGGACAAGCTAGAAGTTGGGTGTCAATGTTGATCATGGAAACTATAGAAATGAACTAATACAAAAGGTGGCTAGATTGGCTACCCCTCTAAAAGAGATGGTGAGTGACATTTACGGCAAAGGACGAGAGGCATGAGGTCAATGGCTACGGAGCGCATGTTTTGGCTAGACNGCCACGGGAGAGAGATCGTGCAGCTAGTTCTTCCCAGCAGATGGAGAATTTCTCATCTCCTCAATCTCATCATTGAATGGACTCTGTGTTTTAGTCAACCACTTGAAAGACCCTTCTATTACCAGGCCCTCAAGTATGTTTCGTGTTTTGCTCACCATAGCCATTTCCCACTATCCCCTTTTCAAGAACTTTTGTGGCTCTCTTTTTTCCATTTCTTTCAATAACTCTACATACAAGTTAATCACCTGCAAAGCAAGAAGAGTGAAACCAGGGCAGACAAAAGTCATCATATGGAAAGATTATCACTCCTATAGGACTGAAGTCACAAAAATGTCCAAACTCTCATACGACTGAAGTAACATTCAATATACTTTTAGGCAGTGATATATGCATGTAAATTAAGAGGTGTGTTAGATATGCTTAGCTTATTAATCCACAAATTCCATACATGAAATTAACTGAAATGGATGCTAACATATTAGAGGACAAATAATCATCAACTAGCTTTTTGCAAGGTAAAGAAAAGGAATCAATTAATTACTTTTCAAAATCTACAAAGTTTCAATTGCATTTAATGAAACTTAAAACCAAGTTCATATAAACATATTTATACAAAAGCTAAAATAAAGCTTCTAAGAACTACTGAATGCTTAATGGTCAATATGCACCTCCCAGTCCCAGACTCCCTTCTTTTCTACATGACAAATTCTAAGTCAAGAAAACTATACCAAATCACACATTTTCTCATGATCTCAAAAAGTCACAACAACATCTCAACAGAAGGAAAAAAAATAGAATAGATTCCACTCAATACTCTCCAAATGTAGACCATTCGAAAGTTCAAAAGATTAGGATTGTTGTGACAATCCTAATCGTACTGGTTATTCTTATCTCCACAACCATGTGCAAGAGTTGCAACCTGCAACATATCAAGCTGATTCATGTAATCACAACAAGACACCAGCCTCATTCAAACCGGGACACCCCAAATTTGACCTACCCAACTGCCGATTGGTAAATTACTGTCAAGGTTCATCAAAAGGGATTTAAAGTAGTCATTTGATGTGTAGTTTTCAAGATGGTCAAAATCCTCTACAAGGACTATGTTAAGAGGATTCCAACTAGCATAAACATAATGTTTGCCACAATGCAAAGGTTGAGGAGACCTGCGTGACTCTGTCACGAGATGCCAATTAGTCTTGAATATTACAAAGTTCTATGGAAACTTATTTTCAAGAAATAATTAGTAATAATTTATAAATGAAAGTTCTAGACAGATTATCTAGAGCCATGATGACAACACTTAAATCAGGAGCATAGAATCCATGTATAAATATTTAGTCTGGTTTTATACCTCTACCATTTTCCTGGCCATTTGTTGGCAGATTTTACCATAGTAGATTTTACCATAAACAAAAGCAAAAAGCATTGCCCAATCATTATTATTCAATCAGTACATCTGAAAACTAAGATTTACCAAATATATTTCTACCATCAGTTCAAACGCAAGTGTTTGTATTTCATAGGCGTTGAATAAATTCTTGATTGAATGTCCTGGTAATTAATATTTATGGAAATAACTCCCCAATGGTATGCAATCTACTGATGAACCCCGCCAAGCAACCATTGAGTGGATTTAAATATCTAGAATATTACTCTCATTACCTGCAAATACCCCCTTATGGTAAGCAAAAAAAATTACGCACTCTGAAATTTACTCGACTTTTCACTCTCCTCCGATTCCGGACGAAATTGAGGCTGACCCATGGTAGAATTAGATGCGCCTGGATGAGAGAAATGTTATGGTGGTGCTCCACGATCGAGAGTGTGGCCGGATGTGGAAGTAACTGGGGAAAAACCGTAACTGCGCTCGCGATTGTGGATGGGAATTGGAGTTGTTTCCGGCGATTTGTTGGGCAGGCGATGGTCGGAGGTTGTAGAGGGAGGTGAAGGGGTGCCTGTGGTGTGGGGGTCCGGTGGCTTAGGTGGCGGGTGGTGAAAGTTATGGATGGAGGGTCAGGAGGGAGGTGGTGGATTGGTAGCTCAAAGAAGAATCATGGGAGAAATGGAAACAGAGCATTTTCCGCGTTTTCAATTTTTTGGGGGGTTTGGGAAGAAAAAGCCCAAAACGTCTTTTTAGACGTTTTGTGTTTTCTGTCCAAAATTTTTTTTTGTTTTCAAAAATGCGTTTTCGAAAATAGGAAAGAGAACGCGTTTTCACTGTTTTGAAAAATCGAAAACAGAAAATGACTTGAAAACAGCAAAGAGAAGAGAGCCTGAATTTTTGTAAAATGTGGATCAAACAGATAAGATTGACCTTTTAAAATGAAATCTCAAAAATTAACATAGCGTAAGGCAAGGAAGATGAGATAAAGGGTTGGAGAAAGTAGGAATTGTGATAAAGGATGATACGTTAAATTTAATATTTTACTTGTCTAGTTTTAATTCGTTTAAAAATATTGTTTTGTTATTTATGTTTAGTAAGAGTTTATTTTGATTATGAGTTATACTAAAATAAACAGGTTTCATGAGTTTGTCTTATTTTAAAAAGTCTACTTAGAATTTCTTATTGAAATAGGGAGTTATGATTTTATTGCTAGGTGGTTGCTTTTGAATTTTTATTAAAATCATTGAAGATTGTTCTTCAAATATCTACACATTTGTGAATTCATGCACGAATGCTTTTGTAATTCCGTATTTGTAATCGTTTAGCTTTCCCCTGCATTCAATGGTATCAGAGTCCAATCTACGCTCCTAGTGACTGATCCAGGAGGACAAGCTAGAAGTTGGGTGTCAATGTTGATCATGGAAACTATAGAAATGAACTAATACAAAAGGTGGCTAGATTGGCTAACCCTCTAAAAGAGATGGTGAGTGACATTTACGGCAAAGGACGAGAGGCATGAGGTCCATGGCTACGGAGCGCATGTTTTGGCTAGACGAGGCGGCAGGATAGTGAGATTAGTTACGAGCTTGAAAGTGGAACTGGTTGATTGATAATCACATACAAAAATCGCATATTTCAAGATTCTAATCCAAATTTATTTCATAACACAACAAATTGTCGTAATAGTTCAACAAACTTTGAATACCTTCTTGTTGTCCAAGTGCCTCTACCCCCAAGAAAGCATCTTTAATACTTAGTGAGCGGTCCACTCCCGGAATAAAGTATGTGATGTGGGTTACCTTTGTCCAACTATGCCACAACAAAATTAGGGTTCTTATCGGATTGGGGATTTTAATACGTAAATGGGTAGACATGGAGATGAATTCAAAGCCAGATTGTACCTTCCTGTCTGATTTGGGCATCGGAGTTAGGATTTTGGGAATTAGGGTCTTCAATTTGCGATGTTTCACTTTGTCAACTGCCATACATCAAGTACATGTTTCAGATGAAAGGAAAATTGCGTTTTTTTTTTTGGAACTTGCCACATGGAATTCTCGTTTGCGAAGTGGTTACAATTTCTTAGAGGATGGTGGATGAGTAATTAATTAGAAGACAAGTTAGTATTGAGTAACCTTTTGAAATTAGGTGAATAATTAGAAATATATTGAAATTTAATGGCACCTATTGATTTAACCCCATATCAAACAAATTGCTCTTCATAAAATTTTAGTCACTGCTGAGTCAGACTTCATCTATAAATTTAGAAAAAGAAAAAGAGAGAGGAATTGGACTAAACGTCTTTTTTCTAGAATGCCGACTTAAATTGATGAAAAGGGCAGTTTGAAAAACTCAAGGATGAAGATTTGACATTTACAATAAAAATCTATATTTTATGTAAATGAATAATTTTTAATTGATCGTACTTATTTTTACGGTAACATATATACAGAGTTTTAAAAAATGTTGAACTATCTCATTTAAAAGCATGGTTGTTTAAAAAATAATGCATCTAGTTTTAGCTAATTCTTGTATTCTCTTGTTTTGTCTAATTTTTGCTTTGGCTAGGAGAAAAGCAAAAATTTATACACTATATTACTTGTACAATTTTTTTGACAGATTCTTTGACAGACGCTAAGGTGCCATGCATTTTGGCACTTGATTTGAATTTCATTTATTCAAATCAAGGGCTAATGCATGCCATCTTATCACCTGTCAAAGAGTAAATTTAAATCAATGGTCAAAATGCATGTCACCTCAACATCTGTCAAAGAATCTACGAAACACTTTTGTACAAGTAGCTTAATTCAAAATTAATTTGTTTTCAGAAGTACGAGCAAAGATTATTGTTTGAGTAAATTCACAATGACATTCATTTTGAATATCTTAATTGACATTCCATGATGTGTAAAAAATCTGGTCATTAATTTGAATCGATGTGTTATTCAAATATGTGCCTGATTGCCTCTCCCATCATGGACTATCAACAAAATTGTCGGTGTAGCAAACTCTTATTTGTTTGACGATATCATAGTGTTAGGCAATTTTCAATCATGAACCAAAATTAGATAAGTTTTGCACAATTTTATACCAAATCTTGCACCAAATTAAAAAGGAAAATGATAGTGGTACATCAAGTGATACATCAAGGTGTCACCTTGCAGCCGTCTATTGGAGGAAATGCTAGTGGGATCGGCACTCCCTCCAATAGATGGCTGCTCTTGATGTAAATATAGAACAACCCAATTAAAAATCATCTACAACCATTACATCAAATGAACAGTGTTTAATCATTATTGTGTCTTTTTTTATTCTTAGTAATTTATTTATTCGAAATATTATTTATATTAGAAATACTTAAATTACTAAATAAATTTTTTTTATTCTCAACAATTTATTTATTTAAAAAATTATTTATTTATTTATTTTACAACTACATAAATTACTACCTTACTAAATAAATAATTATGTTATTATTATTATTATTATTATTATTATTATTATAGATTAATCATGCTAATAATTATAATATTAATAAAAAAATATTATTTTGAAAAATATTTAACACAAATACCCTTAATCAATTTGATTGAAAAATAAAATCAAAGGGTAAAATTGACTTTGCACTTTTTTGGTCCTACATTGGAGACACTTTGCACCATTTTTGGTGTATTTTGGTTTCTTGGTGTCTCTTTTGGAGATCTCCTTATTGGTAGGAATTTATTTAACATACACAATGGAATTCAAACAAAATTTTCAATTCTCACAAATGATCTTCTTTGTATTTTAATAAAAATTGTGATAAAGAATTATGCTTTTGATGAATTTCTTGAAGAACAGTTCTGATCTGCATTTCACAGTTGTCCAATTGTCCAGCTTACAATGAAATTCCATACAGGAAACAAGAATGAAAGAATTATAATTTCTCTTTTCTTGTGCTAGCACAATAATAAATTGTGTTCTATTCTTCTAAAACCATAACAGTTTATTAATACAAGTCCAAGTGAACTTGACCTGTCTTTTAAACTTAATCTCATCTAGTATTTAATTAATTCAATTAATTAAATTTAGTTCATAAATTAATTAAGGGCAACTTATAAAGATACACTTAAAATTAAGGGTTTTTTGAAAAATCATACGAAAAGTATTTTGAAAATAAAAAATATAGTGTAAAATTAATTCACTTTTTTTAATTAAAAAATGACATACAATTTCACTTTTATTAAAATAATGATGTTTGTCCATAAAAAAAGTGATAAAAATTTCAAAAAAATTGACGAAAAAAGTGGTAAATACTAAAAAATGTGACAAAAATTTTAAAAAGCGATAGAAATTTAATTGAATGAAATGTAGATCATAAGCTCAATATGATCTGATCAATTACGAAATTTGGATGTGTTCCCATCTCAATTATCGATCATATCTTTCATCCCACTAATCAATATGTCGAAAACTATTTTCCAACTTATGAGTACACTTTGGCCAATGATTTTATTATCAACTTAATTGAATAAAATGTAGATTATAATCTCTTACTATTTAAGAGCGACGAATTTTCTATTGATCACTCACAACTTTCATATGATTTTTGACATACCCAAACGATATCGTATTAGCGATCCTTGATAGAGTAACATCCAATATTACAAAAGTATGATTATCCTCATATAAGGCACTATAATTACCTTAAGTCGAATAACCAATCCCACTATCGAACTTTATAAATTAATCACTAACACTCAGATAATTATTCATGTGGAATCTCCATAGAGGGTCTCCAATATTTTGTTTTATAACAAAACATTCACGTGTTCATTTAAATATCGCCACAATTTAGTTTGTAAGATCGGCTACTGACTTCACAAGTAAAAAAGTCACACGCGATAGTCTATCTGTAACAACGATATTCATATCCTGTTATTACTTATAATCACGAATAATTTAAGATTCAATCATATGTAATTTATATCTCACAATCACAACTCCTTGTGATTAACAAATTACTAAGACTTTATCTACGAAATTCTATTACTTAATTTATTAGAATATTAATTAAATTAAATAATAGATCTACCATAAATGAAATATATTAATTATATATTACAAATGTTTATATTCAAAATTGATTGGATTTAACGCATAACAGTTACACTTACTATTCTAACATCCCCATGTGTTACACATGTTGTCGGTGGCCCATGATTCTTACAGAATTTGTTGATAAATAATTTCCACAGATCAGAAAGTTCCAATTTAAAGACTTTTGACCAGATTTGCAGCTGGAATGCATCTCCCAAGCCATATCTCCTAAGCGAGAATGGTTTATTCACTCTAGAATTAAAATATGGAATGCTCAATAAGCACACAGTAAATTTTATTTGACATGATCGGTAGTAGAGTCGAGATTTCGGATTTGAAGGGGCGATGGTGTTACAATAGTCAATCGCGCAATGATACCGAACATGTCATATGCTCTTTCTAAATAATTTCGATAAAATTTAAAAATGTTGCAGGAATAGCTTCCCTGTCCCTCTTTCGCTGGACATGGTCATGCATAAGGTCGATGTTTAATGTAATTGTGTAACATTTGCCGAGTTCTATGCATTTTCTCCCTTGTCAAGTCAAACTAAATTTGACGATTTGATATTATGCAATATTAGAATGTTCAATTGCTATACACAAAATATACCAACATGTTTTACCAAACAATGTTGTTTTTCAAACTCTCTCCGTCAACCAGGTTGGTACGATCGCAATTATTAGACTTGATTTGAACATCAACCCAAATGAGTATTGGGTTACTGGGTTATTGGTTTGATCGATGAGTCAATAGTTGAAAAATCATGTAAAAGTTTTCTAAGTTTAAAAAAATGTATTTTTAGTTCAAATGTGTTATTCTATTCATGTTAATGAATTCAAAAAATAGAAATTCGATGACTAAAAGCTAATAAAGTATTTTCATCGAAATCCTGTACAAATAAAGACAATATAAAAGACATCCCTAATATTTATGAATATTATCAAAAACACTGTATACATTTGAAAAATCGCACTGAAGTTGACATCTCTCTTTCTTTACATCTATTCACGCAGACCACGTTGCAAATTAACATGGTTTCTCATTGTTATGATTAAGTTAGGATGAATTTGCCCGTTTTTAAAAACAATTAAAGGTCAAGGCCCAACTTACTTCTGGAGTAATAGATTAGGGACCAATAGTGAAAATGTGCCTTCCTTTTCTCCAAATAGAAAAAAATAAATAAATAATAAGAAACCAATAGGCAATAGCCAGTAACCAACCATTGCTCACCATTTGGAGTTTGTGGTACAGGTTAAACGGCGAAGTGCAGAGCCTGCTCGAGTTCCAACAATGGCGGCGGCGGCTACGAGAGTGATAACATCATCTAGCCACACCATTAACACCACTCTATTCTCCAAAAGTCTATTCACTGGAAAATCTCAAAATCTCAGCCTTCGGTTCAAAAACAATGTGCAGAAGAGGCGGCTCTTCACTTGCCGTGCCATTTACAATCCCCAGGTTCAAATAAAAGAGGAAGGCCAGCCGGAAACCCTTGATTATCGTGTATTCTTTGTCGACAATTCTGGGAAGAAGGTAAAGCTATGCGTTTTAAGTGATATTAGTTGCATTTTTGTGTTGTTGGTTTTGCAGTTGATTGTTGCAATTTCACTCAATCTTAGGCCGGTGGTGCAAATTAGCTTGTTAATTAATTCATACTCTATCAATTATATTGTAATTATTCACCATTTTGATTTTTTTATATTTTACAAAATGGTGTCTACTTTATTTGTTGGAACTATAGATAAAGCTGGTAAAAATGTGATTGGTGGATTAAGGGGAGGTGAAGAGTGCAAATTTCAGGGAAAAGAATAAAATTGATGGAGCATATCTATTGACGTAATGACAAATATGAAAGCTTTTCTATTTTCCTTTGTTTTAAATTTGGATTTGTTGAAATTTGCCCTTCTCCAAAGAAAATGGATTATTATTATTTTTTTTTATTTTTTTTTTTGAATTTGCAAATGGTGTCGATATAGAAAAGAGTTCTGTGTTTTTGCTGTGCCGAAAATAAGAAGGAAGGAACCATAGTGAATGTCATACAAAACAGTCATATACTCACATCGGGTATTGTTTTGAGATTAAAGTTAAGTGCTGATGCTGCCTCGTCATTCTGAGGTGCATCGTGTTTTTTTACTGTGCAGATTTCCCCTTGGCATGATGTACCATTGCGCTTAGGCGAAGAAGTATTCAATTGCATTGTTGAAATTCCGAAAGAATCAAGTGCGAAGATGGAGGTTGCTACAGATGAGCTATTTACTCCCATTAAGCAAGATACAAAGAAGGGAAAACTTCGATATTACCCGTAAGATTGTTCTGTTATCTTTGTTTATCCTCTATCTTTTATTGCTCTTTAGTTTCATTTTTCATATTTTCTTTATTGATTTGACATTTTTGTGGGCTTTTCCACCGGCACATCGATTCAGTATTTCAAGAAAGAGGAAATAAAAGAAAGGCATGTCATGGCATTTTTGGTCAGGTCACATTTAAGAAAAATTCTGGCTGAGTTGAAGACAAGGATGAACCTAACCATAATGACGCTGTAATGGCGTTTGGGTTTGCGTTATCTGCCAGTTGTGCTTTGAATTTGGGTTTGAATATTTTCTTGCAATGAGTATACAGAATAAGAAACAATAAGCCTGCTCTCATGTAATCTAGTATTCAGCTTCCTTCATTTGAGACACTCAAAAGTGGCTGTGGGCAAATCTATTAAATAATTTTTTTAATTAGTTTGATGCATAAGCGCTTGCCCCAGTGTGTTATTAATACTCCCCTCTCCCCCCCACTCCACACACATCGAAAATCACATGACAAACTAAAAAAAGGGAAAAGATTGGACAGCTGCTACTGGAGTGCTTAGCATCTGAAGGCATACAGTATTCAACTTAAAGATGTAAACAGAACTGCTGATTTGATAGAACTTGAGCACTAGAGTGGTTCTTATGGAATCATAGGTTTTTATGGAATCATAGGTATTTATAGTTGACTAGTTGTTAAAAGGAAAAAGACGTTAAGAGTTGGTTTTATGGAAACGTGGAAGAGATATTTGGCCCGTCTTCCCCATAAAAAAGAGAAAGAAGAAATAGTCTTTACTTCTATAACGCTTCTATAAGGTGCACCCTCAAGTTGCATTTATTAAATATTTCAAACTGAAGGTATTACACTTGTCTTTTTTGATATCTTTATTACCTGATGCTTGTTTCTCGTTTTGGAAATTTCTGCCTTCTGTGGTTGTTGCTCTCTTGTCTGAGCCGTTATGTTGTACTTACCCCAGTTACAATATAAATTGGAATTATGGATTGCTTCCACAAACATGGGAAGACCCATCATTTGCAAACACTGAAGTTGAGGGGGCATTTGGAGACAATGATCCCGGTACAGTTTAATCCTTTTCAACATCTCAGTTATCTTTGTCATTAAGTTACCTTCTTTACCATCAGTCTCCAACCAAAGGGTGAAACTGGAGATATAGTAAGCTTGCCAGTTAAATTTATTAGATTACACTTTCTTTTGTAGTTGATGTTGTTGAGATTGGGGGAAGACAAGCCAAAATTGGAGAAATTTTGAAAGTCAAGCCCTTGGCTGCTTTGGCCATGATTGATGAGGGAGAACTTGACTGGAAAATTGTAGCAATTTCACTGGATGATCCAAGAGCTTCCCTTGTCAGTGACATTGACGATGTTGAGAAGCATTTCCCGGTATGTTATGCCTAATGTGGGAAAAATCATTTGCAACAATTACAAAAACCTGAGCTGACACTTGAAAGGTTCTGTGATAGATTTAACAGCTTATGTGATTGGTTTTCCCGAAAAGTACTGAGAGTATTCACTTTGTTGAGTTAGTATTTAAATATCTCAAAAATGGAGTATTTGGTGATCTAATAACAGTATAAAGGATTTTTTTGAATTAAAATTATGCTTCTTGTAGATTGAGTTGAAGTTTTAAGTTTTTTTCCTTGTAATTTATTTTATTTGGAACTCTACTCGAATGATTTTCTTTAGGGAACTCTTACTGCAATCAGAGACTGGTTTAGGGACTACAAAATCCCTGATGGCAAACCTGCTAATAAATTTGGTCTTGGCAACAAGGCAGCAAACAAGGTATCTTGTTACTCAATAACCAAAATTTTTGCTTGATACTGTTTTAAATTTCATTTCACAAGGTCCTTGTTTATTCTTTTCACCCCTTGATGATAAACGCAGTTAGACTACTATATTACAATCATTCTTCTTTTACAATTGCAGGATTATGCTCTTAAGGTTATTGCCGAAACCAACGAGACTTGGGCTAAACTTGTGACAAGATCCACTTCTCCTCGTGAGCTTTCTCTTCTATAAATGTAACGTTTGAGGTGAGTTTGGCACATCAAGTGAACCGTTAACGAAGAGAAAGAAGCAGAAATTTTGCTCATTCTACCATGAAGTCATATCTAGTATTTCATACAAAACATGTCTAGTGTTTGAGCTGCGTTTTTTCTGTAATTTATGTGAGACTATAAACTAAAGGTCTCTTGCTAGAAACAACTGGTATTCAATAAAATATTTGCATTTGGGATGCATGAATCTAGCAAATGCAATTGTTTTTTTCCATTTTTACCATCGGAATAATATTTTCTGCTTCCAATGTTATGTATTTTCTGCGTTGGATAACCCCCTCTCTCTGTGCGCATGCACGCTTTTGCTTTTTAACTACCTAAGTATCGACTTTTTAACATATCAAACATGAAATAAAACCGGTAAAATGTGCAAAAACGTTAGCATGGCAAGATTCTGTGTTTCCTTCTCGGAATAGTATTATAAACATATGAACATTTTTGAACAACATGATATTATTCACACCGTGAGAAGCATCAAAGACATTCATTTACTGCATTCAAGAAAAAGTCGTGCAGTCTGCCATTCTATTCTCTTCGAGCAATGGAGATGTGGGCCCCTTATCCACTATAGTAACGGGATGACTGCTGTCTTCATTAAACTTGTCTACGCTGTGAAGAAACACTCCTGCCAAAAAGCACAAACTTGAATTTAGCAGTCTACGAAATTTACTCCATTAACATATAGATAATCCTGTAACTGAGAAATAGAAGAATGAATAGTAAAGGTGGGCTAAAATTCGGAGTGACAATTGGGTGGCATTTAACATAATAACAAATACAAACTTGGCCTTGGAAATGCCTAATATCTCGGCCATCAACTTTTCTTACTGTCCTAATGTGGTGAAACAGGGAAGTAAACCGTAATCTCTTTACCTATAAACCATATTCCAGCTGCCAGAAACAGAACGGATGTTAGAATAAGAGCGGTTACCCTCCAGTTGTTAATACGATCCTGCAGAAAGTAACCTTGATCAGGAGAATATCATCTAAAAAATTAACTAGTTTCAAACGAGAAGTCTACCAGGGTACAGCTCTTTTTCTCTTCATTTCCCTGTTTATATTGCATGTCTCACGGGACAAAAGATATAAAAAATTATTTATAGATGATTTCTTTTGAAAGTGGTATGTTGCAACAATTTAATGCAATATAAGAACCCCTACAAAACTACTTACGTAAAAACAACTGTCTTGAAGAAGAACGGAGGAGTAAATAATAATCAATTACAGAATCTTATAAGCGAACCTGAATAAGCCCAACAAGAGGAGAAGAAGGCACATCACCAAAAATGTGAATTGAAACAGTCGATATAGCCATAGATAATGGTCTCAAACTAGGCTTGACAGAGTGTAGGCACACAAAATTTACAGGGCCCTGCAGTGGCAATATGACATATTAGTGCGAACTAGTATCAACAATAACTGAAAAATAAATTGCAGTAGCTCATGATAACGTTGATTAATAAAAGGGTGACTTCAAGTCAATAAAAATAAAAAGATTTTTGCATTACTAAGTGATATGCCAAGACCCATATTTCAAGCTCATTTGACCTTGCAAACTCAAAAACCAAGCCAAAAATAAAAAGTAATCATTGCCCTATGTGCTACATATGAATAGAAAATGAAGCTTCTAGGACAGATATGCCAGCAAATTCGAATGGTGGAAAAGAATAAATCTAGCTTTAAATTACCGCCTTCAGCAACAAAGAAAATTTATAAACCTGTGTACTGTGTCTTGAATAGTATAATTATATAACTAAATTTATAACAAATTTAGCAACATATCCATGATCAGACTGATAGACTACATGTGATATCGACGAGATTCAGTCAATAGAAAATTTACCTGAGTGGCAAATACCAGCAGCTCTCCAATTGAGAAAAGAGCCAAGAAAGCATATAGGCTCTTAAAGCAAAAGGAAGTGAAGCAGAATATTGCTCCAAGTAATGATGCAAATGATAGAAGCTGCATCAGAGACAATGCATAAGATTTAGGGTGAAATAAAATAAATTATGGGAATGTTGCAAATGATAGAAGCTGCATCAGACGCAATGAATAAAATTTAGGGTGAAACAAAATTAACTATGGGAACTGAAAATTTGAGAACACTATACCTCTGATGCTTCGTTAAATAGATTTCATTCCAGAAGATGCAGATATTTGTTAGATGTTTGCCCAATCATAATGTGGTATTGTAGGATGTGTGGAGCCTAATTATGTTTTTTTTCATTTTTTCTATTGATCATGGATTGACCTACTAGTCCTCCTTATATAAAGGGTATTAGATCAAGCCGTTTGTTACGGTGAAGAGAAAATAGAGAGGTGTACGTCATGAACTGAATGTACTCTCGTTCATTAAAGTGAAATCTTGCAAAGGCAAGTCCATGTAGCTCTCGCAAGAACCACTATAAATCGCATGTTTTTACTTGCATTTGATTTTTGCTCCGTGTTGTTATTGCTCTTAGAGATATGAGATTAGATGTCTGATCCATAACAATATTTGATGAAACTATTCATCATTTCAAAATGCAAACTCTCCATTATTAAATTATACCTCGTACAATAGTTCACATATTCTATTTTGCACTCTACTAAAAAAATAAAAAAAAAGTCTCCTTGAGTGTCTTAAAAAGCATTAAGGAGCATCGGGTGCAATGTTGGGCTCAATAAATTTCAGCCTACAATAGTCGAGATTCATTTTCTCCATGCATTCGTACCTTATTATCCTCTTTGTTCATCTAGTTTCTAAGTTATATCATCATCATGTTAAAGGAGACAAAATGTTCAGGAACACACATTTTCTTTAGTTGCTTTTGAAGTTCATTTGTGTATAACATTTGCTTTATGACAACTCAAAATTAATGAAAGAATGAAATCTAAATTTGAACAAAGATTCTCAACCAAAGGTTATGCAAAAGTAAGTTGCAAGCAGGCCCACCTTAAAAGCATTGGATATTGTGGAAGTCATAAGATCAAGTACAAAACCACCTGCTAGTGTTCCCAATATTCCACAAACAACTGTAACACCTCCAAACATAATATCTGCATTACTCTGGTAAAAGTAAACCAAATTTCAAATGTTAAATCATAATAGTATAAATTTTATGTGACTATAAAAGAGAGAGTGCTTCGCATCGTCATACAATTCAAATATCTCATGTATAAGAAAAACTCTATGTAACAATGACAATGAGACATTCACAGTTCAAAGGCCACTAAAAGCTTACCATGTGATATATATTATAACCAGCCTTGGGTCCCCAATAGGAATACGAACCTATGACAAAATTATATGCTATGTAACCTGCAATAGTATAGAAAAATCAAGATTTTTGAATGCTAGAAATCAACATGCTTATTTTAGTGGTTATGACCATTTACGGTAAATCAGTAATCATTGTCTTTTCACTTTTTCAGCGGCAGACTTCCAAACACAGAGACAAGTAGAGGATATATAAGACCACAACTCCAAATATTATTCAAGGATGTAACTAGTGTATAAGTTTTTGGTTACGGAAGGATGGAGAATATACCAAGAACATTCACAACATAAACCTTCTCCAGTAAAAGAATTTTTACATCTTCCCAAAATCTCGTCAAAACATTTGCATTCCAAGCAACTGTTAACCTGAATTAGATATAAGTTTTACTAATAACATATCCATTTATGCACAAGAAATGAACTCATGAAATTGAATACATACACCTAAATGAAATTAAAACTAAATGTTCATTAAGTAGTTCTAATATCCTACAATGAGCTCAAAAAATTCCTCACCCAAAAAGTTTTGAACTTTGACCTGCAGCTTCTCTTGTGGACAGTTCACCATCTTCACCATTTGAAACTATAGCATTCATTCAATAAAAGTGTTCAAGTCAAATTTTCAAGCACACAAAATATGCTTATCAAAACAATAAACTTCCAAGGGAGAGTAGAAATCAAAAGCAAAAAAGGATGTTCAAACTAATTCCACAGCTTTCAGTAATGGGTGTGAAGGGGGCAACTTCCAGTAGCAGAGTAATGAGAAAATGTATGGCACAGGAGATCATGAGGTTGAGAGGATGGTAGGAGAGGGTTTTTATTTCTTTTCCAGGACTGATGTTTATTGGGTTTTTCCTTTTGGGGTGATGCTATTGGATTGTTTGTGCAAAAATTTAATGGGTTGTAGCTGGGTTAGTTGGTACAAATTCAGTCTTGGTAAATTTATCGGTTTATTCTGTCCCCCATTGAAAATTGAGTGCACTTGTATCCCAACTATATCAGGTGTTCTTGGTGACTTGGAGGGGATAGGTGAATTTTCCAGCTCTAGCTTCACCAATCAGAATTCCCCAAATGAAGAATGAGGAAAAAAATTTGTCGCATAGACTTGTGCATGTTAACAGCAAAATATTGCACCTTGATCTTCCGAGCCATCCTGCAATACAGATGCTTTTTTGGATCCAGCAGGAGAGAAACCTGCAGGAGCAAATTATTAAGAAATGGCTGGAAAAGAAAATGGGATAAAAGCAAAGCAACGCAATGACTTAATATGGACCTTTCAACTGCAAAGGTTTCATCACAAAGCCTAATATAGCAAAAGGGAGCATCAAAATTGCCTCCCCCCAGAATGCGATACGCCAGTTGAATTGGCCGACCTGTAAACAGAGAGCAGGAATAATTCTAGAATGGCTTCCACAGTGGAGAAAAACAAAATTACACGAAGATGGAGACGAGGGAGTATGTAATAAGATTTTATCTCCTAGCAAAGATAATAAAGAAATCAATTGAGAATGTACTACTCATAATGAAAGAGTAAAAGAATCTTTTGCCAGGGGAACAGCCAAAGCAGTTGTTGAAATATACGTACCAATCCACCATAAACATAGCCAACTGCAACACCACTCGGTATACACATGTAAAATGCTCCCAACCATGCTGTTTTCTGACATCAGAAATAGAACATATAATGTAAAATCAAATGCAT